CCATTCGAAACAGAATAAAACGGTAGCAGCTTCAGCTCCATGAGCTGATGCCCAAGAGACAGGAAAGAAGCCATTCTATTTAAAATAAACAAAATAAAATAAATAAAAATACAGTGTCTACAGTGTCTATTTAGGACGCTGACTGGGGCGGGGCCTGACATCCTGCATTTCTAACAAGCTTCCAGGCGACTCTGGTCCTGCTGGAGTCCGGACCCAACTTTTGAGTAAAGAGGACAGAAAACCCAAGACAGGTTCATAGATCCAGTTCCTGGCCCTTTCTTGGTGTAGCATTTCCGTATTTCTTTATAGAAAGCCTGACATAGTCCAAGCATTCCATTTGGGGAGCTCAGCAGGGCTACGGTGGGTGTGCAGAGCAACTGGTACAAACATGACCCGCTGAGCTACGTGGAAGGAGGCCCCTTGCTTTCTGGAAAGAGCTTTCCAGCTTCACTGCAAAGCTCTCCTGCAGGAAACGGCACATACTTGACGGATGAGACAGGTTCCCCTCCTGGCTGTCGATCCAGGTCTCCTTTAGACGTGTGGTATGGTTGGTGGGGCTCCTACTGTGAGGGCACCTCAGCGGGGGGGTGGGGGGACCACAGCAGAGGGGGCCAAGATCTTTCCGCCAAAAACCAGTGTTTGGGGTTTTAAAGAAGTCTTATTAATAGAAATACCAAAAAGAATATGTACATGAACCACCACTGTCCAAGTCAACACCTTTCTGTCCCAGAGAGCCAGGCAGCCCAACAACCAACCTATCAATCGTGAGAACCGCAATTTTTAAATAGTTCAGATCTGCCACCTGATGCCTTGGGCATGATGAGAAACACAGACAATTCACAGCAAAGCGTCTTAAGTGTTGCCTTTTCCCTGCCATTCACTGCCCTCTATTCCATAGCAAGAGTGGGGGTTGCCTCCTCCACGCCCCTACCCCAAGGGAGCTCCCCCACCCTGGTTCTTGTGCCACTGTCCTTCCCCTGCCCAGCTTCTGCTCCCCACCGTGGGGGTGCGCACCCCCGCAAGGCAGGTGATGAGGAAAGAAGGCCAGGGCGGGTGTGCCCACAGGGCAGGGGCCTGGACCCGCTCCCTCCTCCACTCCCTGAGGAGTGGCTTGGGCACAGCACCCTCAGAAGACAAACGCTCAAGACCTGGGTGTGGGGACAAACCAGCTGAGCCTCACCTCCGCCCTGCATCCACCCCTGCGTCCCCGGCACCCTTGCCCTCCTGTGTCAGCTTGCCAGGGGCCTCGGGAGGGCCTGCAGAAAGTCCAAGGGCCCCTCAGCCCAGTCCTGGAGGACTCACCAGGGCCAGGAGGACAGGGAGAACCACAAGGGTGGCTGGTGTGTGTCCCTAGAATACGCCTGTCACCATGTTGCCAGGCACTGGAGGGCCCAGGAAGCCTTGCTCTCGTAGGGACGAGAAGACGCTGGGTGACCCACAGCCCCGATGACCAGACAAGAAGGTGTGTCCCCACAGAGGCAGCTGTGGCCAGGGAGCGGCTGAGGACCAGACAGCAGGTTGCACTAAAAAACCCCAAAACATCCCGTCAACAGTCCCTCCGCACGTGGCGCCTACTCTGGGCAAATCACGTCAACGCCCCCAGGGGCACCTTGGCTCCTGGGGCAGGGAGAGTGTGACAAGGGGAAAGGGCTTATGCATGGACTGTTTTGGTGCCTTTGAAGAGGAGACCTAAGGTGCTCTGCAATTTTTTTGGCATGTAATAACGTAAGAATAAAGACTTGCGTCTGATTTATCACTGGATGACACGATTACCAGATATGCTGGTAAAAGGGGTTGCTGTCCTGGGCCTCAGATGAATTTTCCAGGAGCCAGGGTGCCCCAGCTGAGCTTACTAATGCCGTGCAGGCGCACAAGGAGGGTGATTTCCCTAAATCTTGCCTCCAAAATGTGGATTTGATCCTCACTGGGGGCCCGTGTTTGGTGAAAACTGCATTTCTTCAATTTCATTCGAGCTCAAATCATTTATAAAATCTAGCTCAAACGGCAGCAAAACTGGTAAAGTAAAATATGCAGCGGGTTACTATGGAGATTGCTAATTTGAAATAATGAGAGAAAATAATGAGAAAACGATTTCCTCTCTTAAGGATTAGAGATCTGTAAACTGACAGCGGTCTATTTTTAGTGTATGTAATCTGTGTGACAATGATAGAGAATTATGGGTACTTTAAAATGCTTTAAAAAGGTCTGTCTGATTGAGAAATTTAATCAACCAAGTACTTATATCAAAATTTATACTTGCTTTTATTAAATCTAAGTTGATTCCACAAAAAAGAAAATTATATGTGTATATCTTAATGGAATCGTTTCAAATAAGACATAATGACTAGGTAAGTAGCTAAATTAAGACGTAAGACCTGTTTATGATAACTCCTTGACTGCTGTGATTTCACAGCTCCAGCCAGATCGTTCATCGCTCAGAAACAGCTGCACACAGCGCGCCGTTCAGAGTCGCAGGTGAAGAGACCCGTCAGGACGAAGGACGTCCTCCGACTACAGCGCAGCCTGCGCAGAAAAATAGATGTTCCTGGCTGCTTCACATTACTCCTTTCTTGCAATGAAAGACTGCTGAAGACTGATCGCAAAATTTAAAGCATGTGAACTCAGTGCTGATTTCAATGATGACATGGGACTTATTTCTGGTTAACTGAGGAGAGTTGAACAAATTGGTTGGAAAGTGAAAAAATCTTCATCTGGTTAAATGTGACGTCAAACAAGCAAAATGACCACCTGGAGTTAGCGCATCTCCATATCCCCCAGGGACAAGCCCTTGCCTTGCCTGACCCCTCACACTTCGACGCCTTCTGGAGGAGTCACGTGGGGATGTTTTTCCCCATCTTCCACTCACCTGTTAGTAGCTACAGTTTTGAACGGTAGCTAAAGTTTCTCATGTGATCCTGAGCAAAAAGATCCAGAGAAAACTGCATTCTCCTAATTTAGGAGTCTGTGGTTCCCCAAAGCCAGCGTCTTTTAAAACACCTATGAAAAGAACTTTTATACAAATAATAAATGCTGGAGAGGGTATGCAGAAAAAGGGACCTTCCTATACTGTTGGTGGGGATGTAATTTGGTGCAGCCGCCATGGAGGGCAGTAAGAAGGTTTCTTAAAAAACTAAAAGTCCAGTTACCATACAATCCTGGGCTTGTATCTGGAGAAAACTATAATTTGAAAAGACACCTGCACCCCAGTGTTCACAGCAGCCCTGTTTACAGCAGCCAAGACATGGAAACAACCTAAATGTCCACTGACAGATGACTGGATAAAGAAGTTGTGGTATCTTTATACAATGGAATACTACTCAGCCATAAAAAGAATAAAATAATGCCATTTGCAGCAACATGGATGGACTTAGAGATTATCATATTAAGTGAAGTAAGTCAGACAGAGAAAGACAAATACATATCACTTATATGTGGAATCTAAAAAATGATACAAATTTTATTTACAAATCAGAAATTGACAGACATAGAAAACAAACTATGATAACCAATGGAGAAAGGGTGAGGAGGAATAAATAAGGAGTTTGGGATTAACAGATATGCAATACTATATACAAAACAGATAAAAAACAAGAACCTACAATATAGCACAGGGATCTATATTCAATTTCTTGTAATAACTTATAAGAATATGAAAATATGTGTGTGTATATGTATGTCTATGGATAACTGAATTGCTTTGCTGTACATCTGAAACTAACTTTGTAAATCAACTACAATAAAAAAAATTAAAAAAAATAAATAAGGTACAAAGATATATATATTATATGGCACGGGAAATGCAGCCAATATTTTAAAATAACCATAATGGACTATAACCTTTAAAAATTGTGAATTACTATGTTGTACACCTGAAACATGTATAACATTGTAAATCAATTTATATCTCAATGAAAAAATAAATAAAAATAAAATTTAAAAAACATCTATGACACTTTTTAAACAATGAATTAGGAAATGGGGGGCTCGGGTATAGCTCACTGGTGGGGCACATGCTTAGCATGCACAAGGTCCTGGGTTCAATCCCCAGCACCTCCATTTAAATAATAATTATAAATAAATAAACCTAATTATATCCCCCCCCAAAAAATGGAAAAAAAATGAATGAGGAAACTGGGTCTGAGAGAAGCCAGGTGCACACTGAGGGTTCTGAGTTGGTGGTGGCGCTGCCAGGCGGCGAGCCCAAGCTCTTGGACAGCGCCCCAGGGCCCCTCCCGGGAAAGAGGGGCTGGAGTTCGCGGAGCCCTAGGGAAGCTGCCTGGGGAAGCTGACCGTCCTCAGGAAGCACCTGTCAGGAAAATGGGCTCTTCAAGGAGACTGTGCAGTGCTTTGAGGGTAACAGAAAGCACATCAATGGGATGCACAGACCTGCTTCCTGGGGGCTTACTCTGGTCCCTGGCACCCGAAATGCAGGGGTTGAAAGAAAGGTCCTGTCCCACCTGCTGTTTCTGAAAGCCTACTCGGGACGCGTGAAGTCAGACCCGGCTCCCAAATCCTCCGGATCCCAGGACCTTGCCTGGGAGTCTCTGATTCTGTACGTCTGTGCGGCCTGGGAATCTATGTCTTTGACAAATGCTCTCAGCCATGCTCACAATCCAGCTCAATACGGGGAGTACAGGTATAGAGCAGGGGCTGGAAAACTTCTTCTGAAAGGGTCAGAGTGCCTGCAGGCCACACGGTCTCTGCCCCAGCTGCTCAAGTCCACCTCTGTATCAAGGGGACAGAGACAACACATAATAAAGGAGCACGGCTGTGTGCCAATAAAGCTTGATTTACTAAAGCAAGTGGAAAGCCAGATTTGGCCTGGGGGCCATAGTTGGCCAACCCCGATCTAGAATGTTCCACTGGTTCATTTATCCACATAGGCAAGGTATGTGCGATAGCAAAACAACTCGGGTCTGTCCTTTCAAGGGACCCTCTCAGGTGTAGGAAGAGAAAGAACCCTTTAAAGACAAGCGAATAAATAAAGTAAAACAACTCACCAGAACACCAGTGTGTCTAGGAAGGAAATTCCAACGCTGGACGCACCGACCACGACAATCTTGGCGTTGATAGTTATTTTTGGTTCCAACGTTAGTTTTCTGTTTGTATGGTTCAAGGCGTAACTCACCTGGAAAAAAAAAATACAAAGAGAAAAAGGGACTTGAGGAAAACGTAGTTGAGTCTGCACTCCCAAAATGGTGATTATGTAGCCAGGACATTACCAGCAAATCAAAGTGAAGGGTGCCCGTGCGCAGCCCTGAGGAAATTTACGGGAAGGCAGTTTTAAAAAAACTCAGGTAAGAATATGGAAATACACATACTACCGAGGCTGGTTCGCATCAAATTCTTGATTTAGATCATTTTTGTCTTCTTGCTGACAGATGGTGCATATAGAGCTGAGGCCCCCTATGACTACAGATGATAAGGTAACGACACAAGAAGACAGACAAGCTGCTCCCTGAGAATCTATAGTTTTATCATAGGCCCCATCTTCCCTTCTGTACAAGGTCTCCCTGAAACCCTGAACAATCAGATTTCAGGAGCTGGGTGCCTGACGCCAGGTATTAACTCACCTCCAATTCTGCGTTTCTCACACTACTCAGCACAGTGCCTTGTGCACAGGAGGTGTGGAGAAATATTTGTAAAATGACAAACATGTTGAATGACAAAAACATATTGAACAATAAGGGCTGTTCAGTCTTTCGAATAACTGAGGGTCACGGAGGACTCTTAGAAGCACAGAAAGTAACTGGAGATCATTTTATTGTCCAGGTTTGAAAAAATTACCTGAATTGATTCGTTTGGTTCACTTTCCTGCAGAGGCTTCAGTGGGAGCATGAATGGTACAAAGGAAGGTTTTACAAAGAGGTAGTCGGGTGCTCTTGAAAGAATGTTAGATTGTGTTAGAAGACCTTGGTTCTCTTTTTTAATTCATAAATTCAACACATTTTTATGTGATGTTTACTGTGATACCTGGACAATAACAGGGTTGACAGCTGACTTCTCATCAGAAGCAATGGAACCCAGAAGTCAGTGGAGCGACATCCAATGCACCCCATTGGGTTAAATTCTCATTCCATTAGCATTAACTCATTCTCTAGGCCAGAGATCTTCAAATTCTAGTAGATCAAACTTATTTTTAATTTTCTTAAACTCCTGAGATATTAGGAGTTGGAAGTCCAGCAGGCTGATGGCAAAGTCCTATAGAAAACTAAGCTACCAGCTACCCGCCAGTGCCTACAGCAGCATGGCTGTGGCCACGTGCTTTGCCATTTACCAGGTCAACCTGTGTAATCTAGAGGATAAATGCCCGCTCTCTAGCTCTAGCTAGCCCAGTAACATGGAGCTAGAAAAGCGTCTTGATTATAATGTATTAATAGAAATTCAAAACAAAGTTTGGAGGTTTTAGACTGTCTCCATAATTTGCATTGCTGGTGCCTCTCGGCATCTGCTTCACCCCCACTCCCACTTCTAACGAGGCACATGGTGGATTCTGGACAATACAGAACCCTCTTGCATCTTTCAGAGGGGACTCTGATTGACATAAACCAAGTCGCATAATCCTACCCTCGTTGGCCCATAATAGACATGTGACATATGCTGGCCTAATCAGAGTGAAGCCCCAGGCTTCTGTGTGATGGTTTAAGAAGAAAAGCCTCTTGCTTTCCAGATGGTATGAGGTATAGATATGAAGCCTGAAATGGTACAGTCATCATGCCACCAAGAGGGAAACCATCCTGCAGTGAAGCCCCAAGTGAATCACAATGCAACAGAACGGGAATTCTTTTCAAACCCGACCTGAAGCCCATGCTACCTGGGACTCTTCAGCTACATGAGCAATAAATATCAGTCAGCTGTTGCCAAAACAGTGCTGTGTAACAAACCAACCCGAATGCATTGGTTTGAAAAAACTGCCATCTATTCTCACTCATGTAACACTGGGTCAGCTGGAAGAAGGCTGATGTCGGCTGGATTCATCTGGGTTTGGCTCTAGCCTGCAGATTCCAGACTGGCCTCACATC